TGCTGAGAAAGGGGCACAGTCCAGAGGGAGCGTTTAGCAAGGTGGTGTCTTGGCTCCCTGCTTCTGCAGCAAGAGTGATCCTACCCTCCTTGCTGGGGTTTAAATCCCACCTCGCTGTCAGCAGCACAGAGCCTGGTGTCTGTGCTGATCTGTGCACAGCTGTTCATACCCAGGGAGGTGTTTTTGGAGAAGCTCAACCAGAGGTTTGGGCTTGAAGCATGAAAACCTGATGGAAAGGGAAGAAATCATCAATCGTAGAACTCACAGTTTTCTCTGAATTTGATGTATCAGTCAACAGCTGAGCTCTTGAAAGGGGCCAGAAGTTTTACTGACCTCATGCAGTCTATATTTAAAAGAAGAAAGACTTGGCCCTTAAAGATGGGAGAGAAAATTTGAAAATGTAAATCCTACAGGCTTAGAAATGGAGATTTATTAAATGTCATTGTTCTTAATGTAACCATGGGGATTGTTCCTCATGCTCCCAGCTGCAGCAATACTGCTGTAAGTGTTCCTTGCAGTCCTTAAGCCCCAGTTTGTTGCTCTTACCCCAACCCAAATTGCCTACTTAAAGAGAGAGACTGCAAGCACTACAGGGTTATGACTTAGGATTTGGAGGCTCTTTTCTTCTCCCCTCCTACCTGGAAATCATAAAAAGAGCAGCTTGCATCAATGTTTCTTCCAAGCTAAGAGAGCTAAAAGTGGTAGCAGAGGGGCAAAACCTGGCTGGGCAGGTTTCACCACTGGCTGCAGGCTCTGACCTCCCAAGTCAGGCTGTTCCCCTCCCTTACCCCTGAGAATCTCAGTGTGCACGTAACTTGCTTCTGACTTACTCGGTGTGTAGCTGCTGGGAGTTGTGAAGTGGGTGGTTGCAGGGAGACTCACTTACTGCCTGGTCCTGGGAACCAAGCAACTGATCTGGGGTGGTTTGCTGCTTATGGTGAGGCTTTCAGTGGTGGTTTGCCCCTTGGAGAAGGTGAGCAGTAGGTTATAAGGAGGTTAAATGCCATCCCTTTGCAACATCTCACGTGGGCGTGTGGCTGTGCTAGGAGCTTTGATTAGTGTCACCAGAATAGTCTGGTGACAAAAGCCAAGACAGGAGCTTAGTTATGTTACTGTAAAAGTTAACACATACCAGAGTGCCTCTAAAGGTGCTGGTTTGTGGAATCTCCATCCTGGGAGACATCCAAAACTGCTGCACCAGGCCTCGAGCAACCTGATTCAAGCAGGGCTTTGGACCAGAAGTCCTTTCTAAACCTTGCTGTACTAAGAGTTTGCCACTTTCTGCCAATATATCTAGCTCATGGCCACCAGATTCAAGAATATGGAGAAGCAGACCACATTAATAACTCAATACTGATTGGGTCAGTAAAAGAGAGCTGTAGGAAGCTACTTGGCAGAGTCTGGAAATGCGATGCAAGTTATAGCAAGGGTGGTGGTGGGAAAAAAGGAGCAGTGAAACTATTCCCAAGCAATACTTTTCCTTTGTAAAGAGAACCAAATAAATATTTGTTGCTGAAAAAAAACCACTCTACAACAAGACAAAACCAAACAAAAAAAAAACCCATACAAAACAAACAAAACACAGAACAACAACAAACCCCCCCCCAAAAAAAAAAACCTCCAAAGAAACAAAAAGAAAATAAAAGAGAAGCAGCCTACTGTCCCAAACTTTTCCTTCTGGCTTTGAGGCAGCCAACATCAGAGATAGAAGTGGATGGACTTAGCATCCAGAAAAGCTGCTAAAAAGGGATCTTCAGCAGCCAGCGTGGGCTCTGGGACCAATAACCCAAAGGATACTTCAAATTTGTGAGGAACTTGAAACACAGAAGTGTCCTAAGGATTTTTGTTTTGCCTGTTACTAGGAGGGAAGCTGTGTTATTTTAGAAATGGGCACAGAGGCTGAGACATCTACCACACTCCCAGGAAGACAGAAACTGTAAGTCTGAGTGTGCCCTACCGGCTGGAGTCCATAAGTGAGGATGTTTAAGGTATCAGTACCACTCCACATGGCAGCAACTCTCTTGCAGAATTACCAAGGAAAAGTGGTAGCAACTTCCCTCCCTAGAGCTGGCTTCTTCCTGCAAACCTCCACACTGCTCCCCTTGAACCAGGCAGGAGTTCTGACACTGAAGCTTTTAAGTGCCATTGGGTGGGCATTCGACAAGCATTTGATTAGAGCAGTGCAGGACCTATTAGGTTAACTTGTTTTAACACACTTTCCAATGCAGGAGAAAAGAGACAATAATTAGAAGAGAACTGTGTGTTGCTGTTTCAAACCTTATGACCCAGCATCATTTTGACAGTCTCTAACAATGGCATAAATGAGCTGAGTAATGTGGCTGAGCATCTAGAAAAGCCTTATTCCAGAAAACAAGGATAGTAAATCACATGATGCCCCATGAGATGGGGTATTTTGCCAAATTACTGCTTCAGGGGAAGTGAAAACACTTTCAGTAACCGGGATGTTGTTTCATCAGTTTCAGGCATTCAGGGTTCCCACTGCCAAGAACAACCTCTTCTTCCCCACCTCCTACCTTGCTAGTTTAATTTTTAACTGGTGACATTTACCAAAGGCTGGTGATTACCTCTGCTGCCAGAGAAGCCTTTTTGTTTCTCTTTAAAGGGCTTTTAAACACTCCTGGGGTAATGGGAGGCCTTTTTGAACCACCAGCAGACAATCCTGTAGAGTCCAATGCAGGCATCAAGAGCCAAATAAGTGTACAGCATCATCAGGACAACCCTTCGTTCTGTGTTTAAATTATTACTGATCCCCCTCTCTCTCATTACAATACTCTGCTTTGTACCATGTGAGATGCAAGACTGAAGCACCAGTAAGGTGAATTGTTTTGGCATGGCAATGCAACACAGAGTGTTGTGCCTCTGGAACTGGTCTTCAAAACAGCCAGATGGGCCCCCGAGAAGATATGGCTTTTTTATGTACTGGTGACTGGGTTGCATAGATGACCTGAGTACATCCCTGTCAAGGGACTAGCACTTGTATTGTCTCACTAAAACTGCTTGGTCCAGCTCTGGCACTCAAATACTCCACATGTGCATTGGAGACTTTTGTCTGAGAAGCAAACCATGACCACCTACAACAAACCTAAGGCAGACTGACCTGCTTATGTTAACTGCAAAGATGTAAAGACATGATTTTGTCCCCCTTACCATGCACACAGGTTTGTCATAGAAGCAATTATATAATTCAGTGTTGTTTAAGTATACTCATAACCCTGAACCCTTAGGCCAGATCAACACTGGACTGCTATTTTATAGCATGCAGTAGTTCTTCTATATTAACACACTAAAAAAATGTGACTTTAACCATTAAGAAGATTTATTTTTTTTTTAAATTAAGACCTTCCTATAAATGTCAGATTCTGCTTCTCTATGACTGCTTAAGCTCTCTATTCCAGCTGCTGCCTTCTATGATAGGAGGCTAATCATAGAATATCTTGGGTTGGAAGGGACCTTAAGGATCATTTAGTTCCAGCCCCCCTGCCATAGGCAGGGACACCCCTCACTGGACCAGGGTGCTCAGAGCCCCATCCAACCTGGCCTTGAACACTTCCAAGGATGGAGCTTCACAAATTCCCTGGGCAACCTGTTTCAGTGTCTCACCACCCTCACATAAAAGAATTTCTTCCTAATGTCTAACCTAAATCTCCTCTCTTCCAGTCTTAATCCATTACCCCTTGTCCTCTCAAGACAAGCTCTTGTAAAAAGTCCCTCCCCAGCTTTCCCGTAGGCCCTAAATAACAGCACCACTAACAGCTGGATTATTAATTCCTTAACAACTTTAAAATGCTCTGGTATGAACAGAAGAGGGTTTTACCCTTTATTTCTCCTTGATGTTTCTAGGGTGAATAAATTCTTCCTTGAAAGCAGCTGACTTCTGCTGCCTGAAAATTTTGTGTCCTTCTCTGCTTCCCCCACCACTTTAATTCATTTCATAATAACATAGTGACTACTATGACATTTTTAAATTTTTAACCTTTAATAACAGAATTTTGGGTACAGGGAGCCCTCAAGCACATATTTTATTGGTCTTTATGAGGGCAGGTTGAGCAGGATCAGACAAAGATCACCACTGCAACAAGGGACCAGACCCCACTCTGAGCTCCCAGGGGCATTTCAGCTGCCCTGGATGCATTTGAGCATGGAGAAACCCTGAGTTACCAACCTACCTATGGCCATAGGTGCCCATGGTTACCAACCATTGTCTGTAGAGTGGTCTCATCCAGTTTCAAAACGTCTGAGAGACAGGGCTTCATCTTGGCTGTTCAGGCCACCAGGAGGGTATTTAGAGGTTGACTGGCCATGCAGATGTGCTTCCAAGCATCTAGAATTGAGGTTTGATTTTTATATTTAAATATGATCCAAGGAAAACGAGGTACCATTTTCATGAAATCAGTATTTGATAAAAATAACGAATGGGTAAGAAAGACCCAGGACAAAAAATGCAGAAATGAATATATGCATATCCTTGAACCACATTATGCCATCAAATCCTGACTTGCTTCCATGGCTTGAAGATTATACCCATAGATGTTGCACTAAAACAAATGATCTCTTGGCCATTTGAAGTCCTGTGCTTATTCCCATTCAGCCATTCCTTTTTGTGGCTGTTTGCTTTTCCAGCTGATGAATGTGTGACTCAAGCTGAGAGAGAATCAGCCTGGGGAACATCCAAACACCCCCCTGTGGGGACCAATCCATAAGGAAAGCTGTATCTGGGCTGGGAGCCACAGAAAGAAGAAAATCTCTCTGTCCCTTCTGCACTTCTCTGTTGTAATTTATATTGCTCTGGCAAAAAAAGCATCCCTGCTGAAGCACTGAACATGCACACAATGGATAAGCAGAGCCTGCAGGCAGTGGGAAAAGCTGCAGCCAGTGATGGGGGTCCAAGAGACGGGGCCAAAAATGCTCCACAATGGCAGTTTAGCTCAGAGGTCTTCCTAGTGGATTTTGGTGGTGAGCAGCTGAGGGTTCTGCAGAGTCTACCAGTGGTAGGTCTGCTCAGGCTGGGATCCCCTGTGACAAACCTGCTGGCAGCCACAACTGGGAAGGGTGCGCCTGCGGCTCAGGTTTGCTCCAGAGCTTGCCTCCTCACTGCTGGCCCTGCGAGAGGGCTGCTCCTGGGGTGGGGACCTCTGCTCCAAACCTTGCAGCAGCTCTTCCAGGACAGCCAGGGCTTCCTGCAGGCCCTGCCCGGTGCGGGCGCTGCCCCCCAGCAGCACCCAGTGCTGCTCCTCCAGCCGCCCCCGCCGCAGCCTCTCCCCCAGCTCGGCAGGAGCCAGCGCCCCGGGCACCTCCTGCTTGTTGGCCAGGAGGAGCACAGGGACACCAGCCATGCTGGGGTGTCTCAGGGCTCCTTCCAGCGCCGCCGCCGCCTCGGGCAGCCGAGCTGTGTCCGTGCTGTCGAGCACAAAGATGAGGGTGTCGGTGTCCTCCAGGTAGCCAGGCCAGCTTGCCCGCAGGCTGCCTCGCCCGCCCACGTCCCAGAGGGTGAAGGCTACACGGCAGGGCGTTTGCAGGGATTCCACGTTGAAGCCCACTGTTGGGCAGGTCTCCACAGCCCGGCCATGCTTCAGTTTGTACAGAAGGGTGGACTTGCCGGCAAAGTCGAGCCCCAGCATCACCACCCGAGCGTCTCTGGCACACCGGCCTCTGGAGAGCAGCTTCCCCATCAGGACACCACCCTGGCAAAACCAGAACTGCAGCCAAAAGGAGAGCACATGTATTTCCTTGATAGTGCCAGTTAATCACAGCATGCTGCCTTGCCTCCCCAAGAGAAGCACCTCGGTCTGCTGAAGAAACGCACAGGCAGTTTGCTTTTCCTCCTCTTGGTAGCTGAAATGAGGCTATTATTTATGAGGCATGGAGCAGAGCCAGGGAGCTGCGTTCAGAACCATTTCTATAGCCCAGCTCTGCTGCCACTCACTTCCATTTTCATTCATGACCCGAAGTGATCGCCGCAGAAGAGAGCCAACACTTTGCAGGAATATGCGGGGAGATGGTGGAGCAAGTTTCCTCCTCACCACCTACAGAAAAAAACCCAACAATGACCTTCTTCTCATTGGCTTCTCTAGGGGAAATCCTCCCCCAGCAGGACAGGACAAGGAGGAACCTGGGTTTCAGATCAGGGTTACTCTGGGAATTTGCTGAATCACAGCTGAAGGGTGTGGATTTAAACATGAGCAACAAGACAACTGACAATTTTTCTCCCTGTCTTATGTTAAAAAAATACAAAACAAATCTCTGTAGCATCAGCTTTTACTACCTGTTGTGTGACAGAAATTTTAAAAAATGTGCACAAGCGTGGTTTTTAATGTCTCACTGAAATACAATGAGTCAACATGCCTTCCCTGGGGTGAAAACCTATAAAATTCTTTACATCAATGGATTTACTACATTTCAACTTTTGTAAGTGAAACAAAGCCAGTCCTCTGTGGCTGAGGGGGTAAAAAAAACACCACCTTAAAAGAAAGGAAAGCACCACTTGAATTCTACATGCCAGAGGCTAAAATGTGCTGCTGAAACAGCTCCCAGAGTTGCTTGTGCAAGAGCAGCTGATGGCAGCCAGGCAGAGTCCCAGGAAAGCAAATATTTACCTCTGTATTGGTTGGGTTTTGCTCCTAAAAGACAGCTCGGAAATGTTAAGAACTGAAAGTGGCTGCAGATCTCACACTGTGGCATTAATGCTGAGCTGCTCTCCAGCCACCTTTGCTTGAGAAGGAAATGTGATTCATCTGTGATTCCCCAGGACCACAGGGAACTTCCATGTGTCTGTGGGAGATGCCGTTTCCCCAGCAATGATCTCCACATGACACCTCCATGTCGCCTGCCACCATTGCTGGGAATGAAGTTCAGCATGTGGAAGGGACTGTCTGGGCAGTGACCAGGTTACTGGTGGCCAACCTGAGGCATATTTCTTACCCTGGGGGAAAGATGTGTCCATTTTCCATCTTTTAAAAAAGGAAGATGAATGAGAAGCAGAACAAAACAAGTAGTCCAGCCCAGATAGGCTGCATGGGATTGCAAGGGGTCCTACAGACCATGTTTTGCAAGGTATTTCTGTGACAGATGTCACAGAATCACAGAACTGTCAGAGTTGGAAAGGGACCTCTACAGATCATCTAGTCCAACTCCCCTGCTAAAGGGGATCCCCTAGAGCACATTACTCAGGGCTGCATCCAGGTGGGTTTTGAGTATCTCCAGAAAACGGGACTCCACAACCTCCCTGGGCAGCCTGTTCCAGTGCTGTTCCAGTGCTGTTCCAGTGACATCCTCACCATAAAGAAGTTTTTCCTCATATTTAAGTGGAAGTTCCTATGTTCCAGCTTGTGCCCATTGCCCCTTGTCCTGTCACTGGGAACTACTGAAAAGACTCTGGCTCCATCCTCCTTGCATGCACCCCTTAGATACTTGCAAGACATTAATAAGGTCTCCTCTCAGCCTTCTCTTGGCCAGGCTAAAGAGTCCCAGCTCTCTCAGCCTTTCTTCATAAAAGAGATGCTCCAATCCCCCTGTCATCTTTGTTGCCCTTCACTGGACTCTCTCTAGTAGCTCCCTGGTTAACCCACGGTTAACCCACAAAGCTGATTGGCATCGAGAGCCTCCACAAGCTTTGTGCAGCTGGTGGGTGTGTAAGTTGTGTTGCTGTGCTCAGGCTTTAGGTAAATTCAAAAGCTAATGCTTGTTTACAGCAATTGTTGCAGAGTTAATCTAACCATATAAAAACAGCACCATGCATGTGATAACTCATGCAGTGTATGATCTTTTCTGAAACTAGTCTATAAATGGAAAAAGGGCAGGAAGATCTCTAGATGGGAATTAAAAAAGAGAACTATGATGTGCAGCTGATCACAGCCCTTCAGGGAACTGTGTGCATACTCTGTAGTGAGAGCTGCTGCCTGAGGGTTACTCGTTCAACTCAGTTCTTAATCTTTAAAAATAAGTTAAACTGTTGTCTGGCTCCTTAACCTGCTTGTTCTCCATCTTGGTAAAACCTTTCACCCCATGTTGCATTGTACTGTAGGATCAATGTAGTTGGCATTTTTTGATGTACCAGTGGGTTAAGTGAATCAGTTTATGATCTGTTCATGTTTCTCCTGCTTTTGCTGAGGTCTGTTTCATCTGACCAGACATTCACAGCCCTGAAATTTCTTTTAAGTAAACTAAAATACAAATACAGGAAGCAAGGGTTGAGATTCTACTATCCAATGAATAGTTGAGTATTTAAAAGATGTGATGGTTTCTTTATTGCATCATTCTCTAATATGCTACAGGGGTAGGCTGCTTCTGTAATTTAAAAAATAAAAATATTAATAGTAATAAAAAAAAAATATTTAAAATAAAAGAAATAAAAAATATAGCCAGAATAAAGAATGCAACTAGGGTACAGTTCTACTGAAGATTGCCTTCAGGTTTTGTATAGCATAGAACAGTGTAATTCATGGGCAAATAGAGGCAACTCTATTCTTGCTATTTTCTTTTACATTTTCTTGCCTTGTGTATCGAACTGCAGCCTATTTTCTTTCTTCCTGCCAATTATTCCAAATATGGGGCCCAAATGGTGCCTACAGAGTCTGTTCCACCCACAGCTATGTTATAAAAGCATGGTGTTTCCAGTAAATGGGAGCAATTGCAAGTCTGTTTAAGAAAGAATGAAAGAGAAGAAAGTAAAAGCAGATGAGATGAGCTCTGAGTGAGTTTATTGCCAGAGCAGAAAGGCCGTATGCTAAATAATTCAGGAATTGTGTTCAGAGATGAGGACAGCCTCTACCACAGCCACATCTAACGTGGGCAGAACAAATGCTCTTGCCTCATGTTTCATGTTTCTGAATTCACAGGAGCAAAGCTAGTGGTTGATTATTCCAGTTCTAACTTCATAGAATTTCAGTCAATGTATTTGCAGTTTGTTAGGCATGCATTCCCATTTCCTAGATATTAATCACCAAGAGCAATAATCAGGAGTAGTACTATAGGAGTGCTATGGTTTGTGCTGGTTTGGTTTGGCAGGATTTTTGGTAGCAGGGAAAGGGCCCCAGGAGTGGCTCTGGTAAGAAGCTGAGAATTTGCCCCTGCTCCAAACCAGCCAAGGAGCCATTAGAGGGACAACAGATGCACCTCAGTTAACATACGAAAAAAATGATGTAAGACGAAAGCAGAAGAGCACTTAAAGGAGATGAGCTGTACTGGAGAGGCAGAGCAGTGCCTGTGGTTGGTGAGGAAGAAGGAGAAGGTGCCTGAGCAGAAGTTTCCCTGCAACCCATGGTGAGATGGCAGCTGTGCCCCTGCACTCCTGGAGGAACATGGTGGAACATTCCCTGAAGGCACCAGGAGGGATGAACTTGGCCAGTGGACTTGGATTTTGTGGCCTGTGGACATGGATTACGCAGCTTTGGAAGACCCCGGCATCAGGGGAGTTTGTTCCCAAAGCAGCCCGTGACTCTGTGGGAAGCCCAGGCTGGAGCAGCTACGGACCTCGTGGGAAGGACTGATGAAGGAGAGGTTCGTGGAGGACTCTCTCCCATGGGAGGGACCCCGTGGGGAAGCAGGGAAGGACTGTCAGGAATCCTTCTTCCTGAGGAGGAAGGAGCAGCAAGAACCACCAGCCTGTGAACTGACTCTAAACCCCATCCCCTGTCCCCCTGTGCCGCTGGGGGGAAGGAGGGAAAGAAACTGGGAACAGAGTGATTTGGGCCCGGGAAGAAGGGAGGGGTGGGGTAACATATGCAAGCCCTGCTCTGTGTGTTGTCTGTGTGACAGACAAAAAACACAACATGGTTTGAGGAGGCCCAGGCTGTTTTTACAGTCCAAATATGAAGACCTAGAAATAGGTCCTTCAGACCCTGAAGGATCCAGGGGCAGAACAGAGAGGGATCAGTATTCCCTCCCATTTCCTGCTATATTCTATAAAAGCCAGGAGGACCAGAAGTCTGTCCATTTTCCTGCTCTCTTCTTCCTTGCTTCTTTGCTGCACTTGGAGGTCTTGGAGAGAGGCTCCTGTTTTGTCATCAGCTCTCCACATGCTCTGCAGGGTACAAATCCATTGGGTGCTGTAAAGAGCCATGGACCCTTTTCCCAAGTCGGCTCTGCCACAACGGACCTTTGGACACTTACATTTTGTGATCACTGAGGTCAGGTTTTTTATATCTTTGTAGATTTGTTCCTCAACCCCTGTGTTACTATCCCTTCCTTGTTCCAGTAAACCTGTCCTAGTTTAAATTTCCAGCCTGTAAGTCTCTCTTCCTTATTCCTGTCTCTCTTGAACTGGGGACCCCAGAACTGGACACAGTATTTCAGCTGTGGCCTCACCAGGGCAGAATGTCCTCCCTTGATCTACTGGCCACACTCTCCTTATGCACCCCAGGTTTCCACTGGCCCTCTTTGTTGCAAGGGCACATTGCTGGCTCATGGATAATTTCCTGTCTACCAGGACTCCCAGACCCTTCTCCTCAGAATGCAAAAGCAATCTGTTACTTCTATGGGTAGTAAAAATTAAAGCTGCTGATGAAGTTCAGCTCTCCAGATTAGTCCAAAGGAAATTCTGCTTTGCAAATCTAGTTCTTAACTTACATGTTTAGGATATTTTATAGCAACAAGGGAATTGTATTGAAAAGATACTGGAAGTTATCGATAAGAATGAAAATGACAAACTGGTGCTTACCATCCTTCTGCCAGG